GTATTTTGGAATGTAACACAGCCTTTGCCATTGGTGCTCGGCTCATGTTATGATGTCATCATCCTAGGACAATGGCAACCGTTAGCGCTCCAATGCTGCTAAAGCTTCCCTACAAGACATCAAACTTGCAGTTATGGCTGGTGTTTGAGCTGCACTTCAAACTGTCGTAACACAGGTACCACCTATATTGTTTTTTATGAACACATTTTGAATGTAGATTTTAAAAATTAGCGTTCGAAGAAGTTAGCATCAGCTAACCCAGATGATGTCATCATCCTGTGACAAACCATGGCCACTGCTAGCCACCACTAGCCACTGCTAACATCGCTGAAGGAAGCAAAAGTTGTGTTCCACTCCAAAATACCTACTTCAACATTTAAGGTTTAACTTTTACTTTTAGATTTAAATCTTTAGATTTAGGATTTAATATTTAATATATTATTTTTAACATTTAAATTTAACATTTAGCAAAAATTAGCTAAATGTAAGAACAGTGAGCTAAATAATAATAAAATGTTAGTGGAACATTTTTCGCACTCAAAAAGTGAGCTAAATAATAAAAAATATGTTAGTGAGTTTTTTTCAACATTTCATGTTACACTTGGCATCCCATATATTTGTCAATTGTATTTTTAAATGGAACATTTTTGAGCTTTTCTACATAATGAAAACATCCCGCTCATCATACCTCGGTTTGTCAAAAACAATCACCTGTAGCAACTTGTTTTGTGGGACTGAGAGAGCTGTTGCAGATCTCGTTTTGGGCCATCACCGTCACGCTATATGTCGTGTCGCACTGCAAGCTGCTGATTACGCAGTAAAGACTATCCGTCTCACAGGTGCTGACTTGACCTTTGCTGCTCACCACAGAGGCGTAGAACTGCACGAAGTAACCCGTCGACTGCCAGGTGATGTTGAGAACACCAGACAGACAGTCCAGGTTAGTCTGAACATTGTCTGGCACACATGGAGCTGAGGAGAGAACAGAGGATGTCTGGTCACTGTATTCCAATATATTAAGGGGATAAAAAGAAAAAGGTTAAGCAAGTTGAGCTTCTATTCTCACCAGCGCGAATTACTTTTATTTGACTCCTGGCTCCGATGCAGTTCCAATCAATACCAGAAACATAGATGTTGTAATCCTGTCCACACAGCAAATTAGGTATCTGGCAGGTGGTGCCCGTGGTGTTGCAGGACCACTTGAGGCCCTGTGCGTTTTCAGCCACAGCCATGTAGGAGATGGAGCCCTTCGAGGCCTGCCACGACACCGTGATGCTGTTCGATCCACAGGAAGAGTTCACTCTCAGCTGGGTGGGAGGACACGCAGCTGGTGGAGTGAAGCAGAATCAGTGAGTTAAATCTTTTTTAAAAATCAGGCGTTATCAAGAAAATTAAGTTTAACATATTAAAACAAAATAATTTACATGTGATTATTGTGTTAAAGTTCTGGGCGGGACTGGGACACGTCTTTCCCTGTCCGCTGATGCTGACTTTGTAAACTTCCCCACAGCGCAGGGAGCTGATGTTACAAGAGGAGCCATTTGTTGAGCAGGTCTGACGGTCGACCATGTTAACGGCATCAGCCGAGGCAATGTAGTAGAGAACGCCGGAGCCGGGAGTCCAAGAAGTCGAGACTGTGTTGTTGATGCAGTCCCGTGATACCTGCAGACCGCTGTAAGGACAAGGGGCTGGAGTGAAATACAAAGAAGGAACATAGTTAAAATTATCATCATGATCTCATCATCGGAACATTGTGCGAGGAGAAAAGAAGGAGGGAACCCAGGAGCAATAAGCTGCAATATTCTTTTCTTTTTCAGGAACCAATCTTAGTTTCCTAAAGTAATTTCGTTCCTGAGTTTTATGTCACTTATTGAGAACAATTTTCTAGTTTTATTGGCAACTCAAGCTTAATAACAGAGGCATCATGGGAAAAGTTAATTTTGCAGCGCTCTTCCCCAGGCTGGATGGAATCAACTGCGATAAATTTGAGGTTTGGAAAGCAATCACATACTTTTCAAAATAATCAGTGTTTTCCTACCTGTGGACACAGTGATGGACTTGCTGGCCAAACTGACACAGGTGGCGGAGCGAGCCACCACAGTAATGTTGTAGTCCTGCCCACAGGCCAGGCTTGGGAAGTTGCAGAGAGTGTTTGTGTTGTTACAATCAGCTTTGTAGCCGAGGCTGCCCTGAGCGTACACCGTATACGATGTGGCACCAAGGGCTGCAGTCCATGTGACGGCTGTGATACCAGTGCTACAGTCTACTTGTCCGCTGACGTTGGTCGGAACACATGGAGCTTTGAGGGGGGATAAAAAGATGTTAATGTATAACTCATTTTTAGACATATCTAATATATTACTTGTAGATTTGCCAGAGGTGGACAAAGTACTCAGTTTCTTTACGTGAGTCAAAGTACTGGTCCTGCTGTTCAAATATCACACTAATAAAAGTAAAAGTAGCTTCATCAAATTATTACTTATGTTAAAGTACTGGAGTACTGCAGTAATTCCAAATATACAATTATTTAGTCTTATATGGAGCTTTTCTAGATACTCAAAGAGTAAGGAAATCTGAATGTAACCTAAGCTTAGTTATTTTTAAAATTTGTTCAAGTTCGCTGAAGTGAAAATAATATTTGTTACAATAAGCTAGAAACACTTTTAGACAGCAATTTAAAGTTCATTTGGTAGGAATCCATTAATAGAACAAAGAGACTAAAAGTCTAAAACATTATTTGTAAAAGGACCAATCAGGATCTACACAAAAACCTGCAATAGTGCTGAAACGTGTCTAGTACACCTATATATATCTAGTGTACCTACAAAGAAATAGTAGTAGGACAAAAATTCTTCTTTTTCTTGTAACCAATTTATATGGCACGGTATGAGGGCCAAAATTAAGACTATTGCGCAACCAGCAGTTGCTACATCCTTGTAGCAGGAGGCTATATCTTTTAAACCAGCTATTGATCTTATTAATGATAGGCCAGCTCCGGTAACTGAGAGGCCGGCACTGGCAAATGAGAAGGAGACTATTTATTTTTGTTAGCATCTGAAAGGCTAGCGACTAGCTTTGGAGAGACTAGCATGCCTAGGCTAGTGACCCACTGGATTGCCAACTTCCTCCGTTGTCTATTGGCATGGATAGGCTGGCGTTAGCATTGGAGAGGCTAACAACTAGTCAAATACAGTCAAATATATTTTCTCATAATTGTGCTAAAATGAAAAGAAAAAAMCCCGCCACCATTAACCAATAGACGGCCAAACGCAGCTGCTAATTTGTAACTAAACTAAAGCCATCTGCTTTACAGTAATGTTTTATGYTATATGTTTATACTTGACAACATGTTGAACAGTAAATTCTAAGGAACACCTGTCAGTGCATGCCGCTTTTAGGTTTTGTATGTGAACCATTTTTGTTGAAAAAGTTTTCTTTATACAAAAAAGTCTTGTCTTGTCTAATAAAGTAGGTGAGCAGCCTGGGCATTCGAGTCGCTATCCTCTCCATTGCTAACACCAGCCTATCCATGTTAGTCGCTAGACTTTACAATGCTAACACAAATGAATAGCCTCCTTATTTGCCAGCGTCAGCCTCTCAGATCAATAGCTTGTTTAGGAATATATATAGCCTCCTGCTACGAGGATGTAGCAACCGCTGGTTGCACAAAAGTCTTAATTTTGACCCTCATACTGCGCCGTATGTTTAAAGCTGCATATCAGCACCTATAGAGTAATGAAGTGGAGTAAAACTAAAAAAATTTAAAATGTCAATGTCAAAAAAAGAGTGCTAGCTAATTAAAGTACAGTACTCAAATAAAATTACTTTGTTACTGCCCACCTCTTAGATTTGCTGAATTGTAATTTCCTTTCCAACTACACTCTCAAGCATAAATACCTGTGTTGAGCTCCTTGGGAACAGTTGGGTTGCTGCTGCATGAGTTTGTGTAGCCGACAACACTGACGAGGTATTTCATCCCACAGCTCAGCTGGTTGAAGGTGCAGCTAGAGCCACTGGAGTTGCAGGTGGAGACCAGTCCTTTGCTGTCCACAGCTGTCACCACCTGAGTCTGATCTGGACCAGCGTTTCCCCAGGTGACTTGCGCCACGTTACTGCTGCATTGCAAATTCATAGACGTGATGTCCGTCTTACAGGGAGCTAGTGATGAAAAAGGTGAGTTACTAAAATATAGTGCGCCTTTTTAAAAAAAACAGATTCCTCAAAGTAATTGTTTACAGGAGTTGCATGAGCGCTGTAAGTAAATGCATCGTGCATCAAAGCCCAGCCTGTATACACAGCAATGAAATTTGAGTTTCATGAAATGTACATTTATTGTTTACTACCTGAGTACATGTGGTAATCAGAGCCCCCAATGGTCCCACAGCTGACAGATGATGTAGTAACAACTATGCCATACAAGGTGCCACATTGTAGGTTCTGGATGGTGCATTTGGTGCCAACAGTGCTACAAGTTTGAGTTGCGTTGTCACTGCTGATGGCCATTGCAGTGTACGTGCCWGCGTTGCCATTGCTTGCTTTCCACTGCACTCCAAAGGAGTTGGTGCTGCAGTTCAGGTCTGCTTGGACCTGATCCGGCAGACAGGGAGCTGTTGGAGGGACACAGATTGTTGATGCATCGATGGAGTCTTTCGTGAAATGAAATGTGAAACGGAGTCATTTACCTGAAGCAAAAGTTATGTTGGTTGACCCAATGCTGTTGCACGATGCTGTAGAAGCAACCACAACGGCTGAATACTGGCTTCCACACTCCACCTTCGCTGTGCAGGTTGTTGTGTTAGAAGAGCAGAAGACCACGTGGCCATTGGTAGCAATTAGCGTAGCTGTGTATGAAATGGCGTATGTGCTTGGAGCCCAGGCCAGAGTTGCCGAACTGGTGCCACAGTCGGTTTTTACAGTCACGTTAGTTGGAGGGCAGGGTGCTGAGAGAGACAAGAAATCGTGAGCTGTGATAATTATCTAAAATAAAAAAAAGGATAAACATAACTTTCATGTATATATATTTGAAATTCCATCTTGTTTTTATTACTTTAATAAATATCTGAAAGCTCACTTCTAACAGACTCAAAACAACCCAATCAATGATCAGCTGACCTATCCTGTGCTGAGAAATACCTTATAACTTTATATGTAATTAGATTTAAGTATTTTAAAAGTGTGTTTAGACCATAAATGATGATAAATTTCATGATGGATGTTCAGGCTGTTTCTTTAGATGGTTACTGAATGAAAAAGTTGTATTATCGCCTTTAAAAATGAACCAGAATCCTTYGAAACTGAATGGAAAAAATATGAATGTGGTGTTAAAGTGTATAGAAAACATAATTTGAAAGTATTAGTTTAAATGATTGAGACATTYGCACAAATATATTAGAGCATAACGAAACAATTAGATGTTTGTTGGAAAAAAGGATAAAGTCTTTCAAGATTACTGACTACTCAAAAAATAAATAAAAATAACAAATACAACTGTTTTTGCCTGTATACATTTGAACTCTTGCTGCTTATTCTAGTTTTAAATGAAAGTTTATATGTTTTAGTTATGAACTGCTCRTTAGATTGTAGAAAAACACTACATAAACTATGATGGTATTTTTTTAGCTTTCTATTTCCTGTAAGGTTGACCTTAATTCAACAAAACATATTTTGGTTTCTGTTTCACGATACATTGACAATATATTCATATATGAACCTGTATTAGTTTGTATCTGCTCGCTGAAGACACTGCTGCACTGAAAGTTCCTGGTGCTGACCCCRAACGAATACTGCTTTCCACACTTCAGCCCCGTGAGCGCAAAAAACGTCTGCGATATGGTGTAGTTGACGACAGCCCCACCGGTTTCCTGGGACTGGATAAAATAACCAGCTACCATCTCTGGACTCTGGTTCCATTTTACTGTGATGTCATTGTTGTTGCAATTGGTCACCCCGGACAGGCCGGTGGGCGGGCAGATGACTGTGAACAAAACAGAAAAAAAAAAAATGAGAGTCTGCATCATGTGCTGATTAAATGTGGACAGGGTTCATTATAATCATAGTGATTTCAGATCACAGCTTTGGCACTCTGACCTGTTTTTAACATGGTTTGGTCGCTGGGTTGGCTCTGGCAGCCTCTTTCCACAGTGACCACAGAGATGGTGACTGTGTCGCCACACTTCAGGCCTGTGAGGGAGCAGCCTGTTCCACTGGACGAACAGTTGGAGACGCGTCCGTTCATGACGGAAGGCAAAGCCGACACCACGTACTGATCTGCCTTCGAGGCGGCATTCCAGGTCACGACACCAACATTACCGGCACACTGCAGAGACGCGACGACATTTGTGGGAGGACAGGAGCCTGCAAGAACAAAACATGCACCATAATTTTAGTCATTTTTAAAATAAAACTCCTTTTTTATTTTTCTGTTTATTACCTGAAACATAGCTGTATGGCTGGCTGTCTTGCCCCTTGCACTGGTTAGAAAAGGGGCTGACAGTGATGCTGTAGGTCTGACCACAGCTCATGTTAGGGATCAGACAACTCAAGGTGTTGGTGGTGCATTGCTTCACGTCGCCGTTTTCTCCAGCCGCCGTCACGTTGTATGACACCGCTCCGGGACTTTGCTGCCAGCTCACCTTGGCTGTGTTGTTTTCACACAACAGCGAAGCGCTAATATTTGTTGGAGCACAAGGGCCTGATAGGAAGTGAAAAACGGACACATGACAGAGTCTTTATAGGATATATTTGTTGACGACGATATAGACTTAAATGAAATTCTATACATAAAAATCTTCTAAATTCATAAATGTTGCTCCTTTATCTCAAAGCATTATGCAGAAATGTAGCAATTCTTTTTAAAGGGATCCCCGATTAGTTGTAACATTAGACTTTATTTGATAAACATATATTTTAACTGTAAAATAAAGAC